TTCCAGTTGCTAAAGTTGAGAACTGACAACAGGTGGCTTATGCATCAACATACAATGGGTGGTAGTAGATTCTGATTTTTTAAAAAATTAGGTGTAATCACTCGGCTATGGCAAAAAATAAAATTGTTTTTATAACTAACTCATGGCATAAAGCCTGTGTGTGTATGTGGGGGGTGCATGCTGTATCCCACAGCAGCTGGCTCAGACTGGACTGCTGGTGCAATGGAGACCTACTGGATGGCAGTAAACTATCAAGAGTAAAGCTGCTTGGAGATGTGTCTTGTTCCTCTAAATCACCACAGGAATAAATGGATTTTCTCTTCTTCTTTCCTGTTCACACCAACCTTCAGTCGGCTGTTTGTTATGTATTTGTTCCTTCATGCTTATGACAGGGTCTGGATATGACAATCCATAGGGTCCCTTCCAGTTTTCTAAGATGATGATGATGATAATAATTACACTCTCCACATGGCTAACCTTCAGGACCTGAATACAGCACCACTCGGTTTGAACACAACAAATACGTTTTTATTGAAATAGTCGTGTTAAGAGAACGTTGTTCAATTCCAGGCTTTAAATTCATCCAGCACAATCCTTTACTCTCTATTACCTCTTCCCTCCCATCTCTCTGTTTTTGCCCTCTTCGACTTCCCTCTCAACCCCCAGGCTCCAAATCCACTCTCTCTCCCAGTATCTCGACTCAAGAGTGTTCTATGTGGGAATCAAGAATGCCTCACAAGCACACTCACCCTCCTTTTCCCTAGTTTCCCTCCCAGCCAAAGAGAACAGTTCTTCCCAGGACTCCATGCTCTGCACTCACCTCCCCATCCCCTACTCACCTACTCACATTTGATTAGGCATCCTTTAGTCTCGATAGACTATGGTAACGTGTTCTGAATAGAAGACTTGGAACAGCATCTAGTGTGGCTGCGAAGGCCAATTCGAGAGTGACAATCCCTTCCACACTAAAGACAAATCCAATCTCTTCCCTGTCCAGCTCCCTGATATTGCTGGTTTTGGGACTGCCTCTTTGCCTTGGCCTGCTGGACAAGGGTCTCTTCAAATTGGGAGGCCATGCTGCACCGCCTGCCTCCAGGCTGAACACTCAAATGTCAGGGTTTCCCATCTGTTGAGGTCCATTCCTAAGGCCTTCAGATCCTGCTTGCAGATGTCCCTGCATCACATCTGTAGTCTTCCTCTGGGGTGATTTCCCTGCACTAATTATCCATACAGGAGATCTTTTGGAATCCAACCATCAGCCATTCTCACAACGTGCCCAAGCCAACGTAGATGTTGCTGTTTCAGTAATGTATACATCCTAAATATAGCAGCTCATTCTAGGGCCTCTCCATTTGAAACTTTGTCCTGCCAGGTAATACCAAAAATGCCTCAGAGACAACGCATATAGAATGTGTTCAACTTCTGCCGTGCACAAAGGGTCCAGAACTTGCTACAGTACAGGAGCGCGCTCCGGACACAGCCTCTATAGTCCTGGATCTTGGTATATGCCGCTAGCTTCTTATTAAGCCATACTGTAAATAATCTCTTTGTGAGTCTAAAGAACGTGGTTGCTGCTTTGCCAATGCTTTTATCCAGCTGGACCTGTAGGGAAAGTGTCAGAGATCGTTGAGCCAAGATACACAAAGTCATGAACAACCTCCAACTCTTGTGTGGAGATGGTAATAGAGGGAAGTGAGTCCACGCCCTGGCCCATGACTT